TTTATATCTATTAACAGTGAAAATGTCAGAGATCACTTCGGCGCAAAATGTTATGATTAAAACTGTAACCTCAAAAGTAAGGACATTCAAAACTCCAGATCGCCCTCCCTTAATCAGAACATGGGCACACCCTTCTTGTACCTTAGCTTCCACCCAGTAAACACAAGATGTGATCTCCACTCTTCAAGTCATTAAAAGAGCAAAAAGCTCTGCTTACTTATGAGTAAGCCCATTGAATACTACAAGTCTTCTTTGCCTCAAATATAAATCAGTTGGATTGGGTAGCCAAGATGATGCAATTTAAGGCAGTAGGAAGAGATGAAGCCAGAACACTGAGTATGGTTGTGATTGAGAGAAAGTCGTTAATTCATAGGGTTGTCATAAAACAACTTGACAAAATTAAACACCACAAGAAACCGTGCAGGACTGCACTGCAGTTCTGTTGTTAGTAGATCTTGTCACTATCAGTATTTCATTTTGGTTTTCCTTAGCCACTACAGTACTGTTGTGCTAGATAGGGAATAGGGTAGTTGAAATATGCTGTAGTGTTTATTTTGGGAACAGTTAATGTACATGAAGATTACATTAGTATGGCCATGTTTTCAGTGAGGAGGAGGGGCTGAACTGTCAGTGTCCATGTTTTTAGGGATAAGAGCTTAAAACATAACTTTTTGTTTTAAACCAATGTTTTTGTTCTTTTGGGAATTTCTCTTGTTTGTAAAACTTAGGAATACAGGATTTTTGTAATACCAAAATTCAATCCAATTCAATCAATCAATCAATCAGTCAATCAATCAATCAATCAATCTACAATGGCAGCAAAGGAACTTGGACTCACCAACTCCTCCAAAACACTTAATAAGAAGAAAATAAGTTTAAGGAAACTATGTCCATTTACAGAGGAGGACAGCTATAAGTTGAGTTTCCCTCTTTAAGAGATAAATCATGTATAACTGATAGTAAGACTCTTGTCCTCTGTTTTATAGTATCTTGGTTTTATTTTAGATCTACAATGGCAGCGAAGGAACTTGGACTCACCAACTCCTCCAAAACACTTAATAAGAAGAAAATAAGTTTAAGGAAACTATGTCCATTTACAGAGGAGGACAGCTATAAGTTGAGTTTCCCTCTTTAAGAGATAAATCATGTATAACTGATAGTAAGACTCTTGTCCTCTGTTTTATAGTATCTTGGTTTTATTTTAAATCCTGTTGTTACAGAGTTATATTTCATTTTGCTGTAAAGTGCCCAGAATAGTGTACTGCACTAATGGGGCAGTAAGTAAGTAAGTAAGTAAGTAAGTAAGTAGGTAGGTAGGTAGGTAGGTAGGTAGGTAGGTAGGTAGGTAGGTAGGTAGGTAGGTAGGTAGGTAGGTAGGTAGGTAGGTAGGTAGGTAGGTAGGTAGGTAGGTAGGTAGGTAGGTAGGTAGGTAGGTAGGTAGGTAGGTAGGTAGGTAGGTAGGTAGGTAGGTAGGTAGGTAGGTAGGTAGGTAGGTAGGTAGGTAGGTAGGTAGGTAGGTAGGTAGGTAGGTAGGTAGGTAGGTAGGTAGGTAGGTAGGTAGGTAGGTAGGTAGGTAGGTAGGTAGGTAGGTAGGTAGGTAGGTAGGTAGGTAGGTAGGTAGGTAGGTAGGTAGGTAGGTAGGTAGGTAGGTAGGTAGGTAGGTAGGTAGGTAGGTAGGTAGGTAGGTAGGTAGGTAGGTAGGTAGGTAGGTAGGTAGGTAGGTAGGTAGGTAGGTAGGTAGGTAGGTAGGTAGGTAGGTAGGTAGGTAGGTAGGTAGGTAGGTAGGTAGGTAGGTAGGTAGGTAGGTAGGTAGGTAGGTAGGTAGGTAGGTAGGTAGGTAGGTAGGTAGGTAGGTAGGTAGGTAGGTAGGTAGGTAGGTAGGTAGGTAGGTAGGTAGGTAGGTAGGTAGGTAGGTAGGTAGGTAGGTAGGTAGGTAGGTAGGTAGGTAGGTAGGTAGGTAGGTAGGTAGGTAGGTAGATAGGTAGATAGATAGATAGATAGATAGATAGATAGATAGATAGATAGATAGATAGATAGATAGATAGATAGATAGATAGGATACTAGTAGGTTGGTTGTATTGGATTCTGGCAGACGCATTAGATCAACGATCAAAAAGATAGATTACTTGTACACACGCTTCATTATGAAACAAAACAAACACAGGATTTCAGGAATTGTCAGGACTGAGAGGTACAAATAAAGTATCAGTAAATGATAGCCATAATAGAAAGGAAGTTGCCACCATTTATTTTTATAAGGAAGATTAACATGGAAACATCTTATCAGAAGTAATTACATTGTCTAGAGTCACTGTATAATCCACTTCTATTTGAAAGTAAATACCACAGTGTTCAGTGATATTATTCCCAAGAAGCATATGTAGGATGCCATAAACGGAGTCCTGCACAACTCAGTAAGTGTTGCTCCTGAATAGACAGGCTCAAGAGCAAGCTGTATAAACGTATTGGACAGCCCTCATTGCCAAATAATATTATAACATTATTAAGTCTGCTTTAATATTTTCTTCGAAGTAATCACTAACATGAGTTTACTTTTGAATAAAAATTACAGCTGTGATGGCAATGGTACCACTGCTTCCTTGCCCCTTGCTTTGCTTGGAGGCAGATGAGGCCTTTTCCTATCTGGCCCAAAGTGAAACAGCAGGTAGGTGCTAATAAAACCACCTCACAGGGATGCTGTCAGGATATCATACAGAGAAGGCATTGGAGGAGGAGTGATACAGACAAAGTAATTATCAAAATTTAAGACTCTTGATGTTACCTGATTATCTAATGTATATGTCCATAACCTGTGAGCTGCAGCCCTCCCGGGGGGCTGTCATGTCCTCACAGGGGGTCTGTAAAGGCTTGAAGATATGTTGTGATCTTTTGCTGTTAGAAAGAAAGAAAGAAAGAAAGAAAGAAAGAAAGAAAATGTAGAACAAAATCTTAATTTCCTTTGCTTGATCGTGTAAAATTTAGAGCAAAATCTTAATTTCCTTTGCTTGATCGTGTAAAATTTGGCTTTTCTAACCTATCACCTCTATTAAAAAGAAATAAAACTAAAAACTGGTTATGAAAATAACAGTTTGACAGCAAATAACTGTTTGATATTTCTGCACATGATGAGAACATGAACGTGAATTACACTGAGTGGCTGAGACAGCATGTGACATTTCTTACTACTGCGCAATCAGAAGCTGCGGGAAGAGAATCTGAGTCAGTGTCATTGTGAGTGAGTGTTCGGACAAACTTCATGGTTGTGTTTCTTCTTTGATTTCTGCTAATAAAACCATTTGGTTATTGGTGGGTAAAGTAACTTTTCAATATTATCACAGTGAATTTTGTAACAATACATTTTGGCTGAACCTCGGAATGGATGGCTTGTAATTTCAGTTTCTCCAGCAAGAATTTACTGCTACTACTATTAGGAAGTGATGTGGTGGTGCTGCGGGTTAAACCACAGAAACCTCTGTGCTGCAGGGTCAGAAGACCTGCAGTCGTAAGATCAAATCCACATGACAGAGTGAGCTCCCGTCGCTTGTCCCAGCTCCTGCCAACCTAGCAGTTCAAAAGCATGTAAAAGTGTGAGTAGATAAATAGGTACCACCTTGGTGGGAAGGTAACGGTGTTCCATGTCTACTCGCGCGGGCCATGTGACCACGGAAATTGTCTTCGGACAAACGCTGGCTCTATGGCTTGGAAATGGGGATGAGCACTCTCCCCTAGAGTCAGACATGACTGGACAAATTGTCAAGGGGAATCTTTAACTTTACCTTACCTTACTACTATTAGGAATCATTCCAGTAAAAATATTGTAATAGGAGTGGGACAAATAAGATTAACTTATTTGTCCCATCTCTCCAAATCTGAAGAACCTTCATGAGAAACTTTAAATAAATATTTTATGCACTTTAGAGTTTTAAATCTTAAGTCTTGGTTGTCTGTGACAACAAAAATATTTAAAGGGGGTCTGTGGTAAATAAAGGGTTAATAACCGCTTGTCCAATGTTTCAGACAGAATCATGTTACAAAATTAACTATGGTAAATTACAAAGGGTTTCTGACCCTGTCTTACTTTGTCATATGTAGCACACTTATAATATTTAAGATTCCAAAATTGCAGTTTTTTAAAAACTAAGGATGCATATTATGTCATAGGGACCATGTATTTGGTTAAATCCCTTTAATCATCCAATTTGCTTCTCCCTCAGAACACTAAAGGTTACTTCCTAGCAGACTGGGAAACAATGTGGTACTTCTGAGAGAACGAATTGCCTTCGTGGTGTGATGCAGAGTTACAATCCCTGAAGTTTACTGAAAAATGCATAAGACGGTCAGAATGACTTATAAAAAGAAAGAACATTGAAAACCAAACTTGAACTATAAAGCTGTGATCCTGGAAAAGAAACAATCCTTCAGAACCATATTTCAAAGGGAAACAGCTGAGATACGGATGCTGGGGACCTATTTGAAAGGGTTAAATATTACTTAAGGATTCTTAAGTCATTAACAAGTGTGAAATGCTATAGTTATTGTCTTAATTCTGCTGTTGCTATCTGATCTGATGTCATTTTTTACAGAACAAGATTTCAAAGGGAAAGAAACCCTCTCTAAAAGAATGAATATCAATCAGGGGTTTTAAGTCATCACCAAGTGTGAAACGCCACATTGACTCACACAGTTTGCAAATTGTGTCTGATATACTAGTCAACCATTGTTACTTTGTCCTTGGTCATGGGGACATGCATGAATGATTGATATATAGTCTCACTCTTATGTCTGAGGAAGTGGACTTGATCCACAAAAGCTCACATTAAAATATAGCTGTTAGTAGTCTTCAACATCTTATTCCTCCCCCCTTTGGTTTCTTGAAAGAGGTGGTCATCAGAGTTGCAGAGGACACCAAACTGGGATGGGTAGCTAATACTTCTGAAGAGAAAAGCAGGATTGAAAATGACCTTAATAGATTGGAGAACTGGGCCTAATGAAACAGATTGCGTTTCAACAAGGAAAATGTAAAATTCTACATTTAAGCAAGAGAAGTCAGATGCACAAACAGAAAAGCTGGCCTGGCCATATTGCCTGTGACCTGGTTCTAGGTGTTTGACACCACAGAAGCGGCCAACTACCATCACCATGGGAACCAGAGAGGACTGAAGTGACAGTTGGTCTTTCAGAGAGGGGACAACTGGAAGTAAGAGGAACTGCTGGTAAGATGGAACAGAGAGCAAAGTACCTGGTACCTGTGCCAGTTTTGTGTAAGTGCAGGACAGCACCTGGGAAGAACCTAGTAGTTGCTGCTTAAAGGCTCTCAGGAGAATGGCTCTGAGGCTTCGCACAGTAACCGTTAGTGACGCCTGGTGTCAGTTGCTTGGCTTCACTAGACTCCGTTGAGTCTGAACTAGAGAAATAATGATGTTTGGGGTTAGTGTGTGTGAAAGGAGACTTAGAGGAACTGGGAAAGAGGAAGGCTGGTGCAGTTTCTCTTCTGTTCAGCCTGCCGCCCCCCGCCCCTGTGCAAAGAAAGAGCAGATCATTCTCCTATCTGTTGAGCCAGCTATGGTCATCTCAGGAGGAAAGTGTTTTGTGCCCTGGATGTGGCAGTTTCCGGAGAGAAAGTCAGGAGAGAGAGGTTCCCCTGTTTACAGCAAAACATTCATTCCTTTTTCCCAACTGCAGTAGTGAGAAACCAGCAGTTTTAGAAGGAATTACGCTTTACTAATTTTTTTTTTTGGCACTCCTTTTGTAACTCCTGCTGACATATTCTCATTGCTGGCTGTGCAAATATGGATGTACTTTAATGTGTGAACCTTAAAAAGAAAGTTCTCTGTTTCATGGCTCTCTAGCTGTTAAGTATATAGGTAGCACTTCGAAGATTCATGACGAAATTAGGCAGGCTTCCTAATACATTGCATATAATCTCACTAGTCATAATATTAACTTTATATAGTTAGGCAATAATGATAGTTATATCATTATTCATTATTATAGAGGGAAGCAGAAGCTGAGATAGATTGGCTTTTGGAAGGCAAAGTCATGATAGCTGAGTTAAGGCTTGAACCCAGGACTTCTCAGGTCAGTAATGTACACTTTTAGCCATTATACAATGCCATTTTTCATGGCTACACAAAATGCCTTAACCTTGTTTGAAAAATACTCCCTGCAGCAGCCAATGAAACACAGTTCAGTTCGTTTGCAGCCTTATTGCTCATTCCTCTCTACTCCAAATGCTGTATTCAAACAAACCCACCAATACCCTTGCTCATTTTTTGGCTGCATGTTGCTTTGTCAGTGAGTGACATCTTCCTGAGTGGTGTGATGTGTACTTGGCAGCGCTTAAGAGGTTTTGAGCTAAAGATTGACAGCGCTGAAATGCCTAATGTGCGATCTAGCCCTTGCCAGCTAATCCGGACTGTGAATGCTACACCAGCAAATTGTCCAGCGTGAAGGCGCTTTCCCTGTGGGAACTGTTTGCAGGCAGGAGGACAGTGTGACACGCCATAGGATTATTTCCTAGCACTTATGCTAATTGCTGTTCAGGCAGCACAGAACGGCTGGACATTATTTTTTTGCTCCATTTATTCTATCAGAAACTGTACCAGTGAGCTTTACATGCATACTGAGTAGTCCAGGAGCTAATTACTCATGTGTAACAATGCCTTGAGTAGGGCTACTTGTGGCCAAACTCTTAAGTAGCTTCAAGGTGGCAGCATCTTGCTCCAGCTCTCACTTGGACATTCTGCATTGGTTTTGGTTCCATTTAGTACAGTTGGGCTTTGCGAGCACATTGCTGTGAGGATTGCTAAGCCTTTGATAAAGCTTTGATTTATTCAGCAGCGATACACAATACTTGTCATAAAGAATTAGGCAGGCTTCCTGATAGACTGGATAAATTCCTATGGTAACCTTCTCAGGCAATATTACTTTATTTAGCAGTTGCAGTCATATTCGGCTTTCTTGACGGCTGCAGAGGTATTTGCAGTTAGAGGCTGATACCTGTAGTTTTTTGGAGTTCCCTTGATCTAGACCAGTGGTTCTTAACCTTTGTTACTCGGATGCTTTTGAACAGCAACTCCCAGAAACCCCAGTCCATGAAGGCTTCTGGGAGTTGCAGTCCAAAACTCCTGAGTAACCCAAGGTTAAGAACCAGTGATCTAGACAACCTTGCAGATCAATGTAGCTATGCAATGTAAGGTTCAAACACACACACAAAAACAAATGTTTTAAAAATATGTTGCTAATCTGATACTTCCCCACCCGCAGTATATTCCACAATGGCCTTTGAACCTTAACGTCTCCCTCCTCCCCATCTAAAATTGCATTACTGTTCCTTGTGCTTCTGAATTTGTGGTAATTTGCCAGTCCCAAACATGGGAATAGACTTTTTATCCTATCACAAAATAATCAGAACAAGAAAGCAAATATCAGCTACACCATAGGGGGGAAAACATACATTTTCAAAAGTGAAAGAGTAAAACTCCTGGTATAGGTTTGAATTCACCTGCTATTTGTTTCGCTTGGATATTGCATGCTGATTCCATACAGCCTGCTGGAGTTGTCATTCTTAAGTCAGTGGTGTGAAAGATACCAGAAGAGAACTTTGGCACAAATTCCTGGGGAGGCAGTTAACCAGGGCTGGTGTTGTAAAGAAGACCCTACCCCACAGTGTGTCACAGGGTGAGGACAACTGAAGTAGTGCTCCTGAGGGACATCTTAATATGTGGTATGCTCATATAAAGGAGGATCTGTCTTCAGATATCTCTTATCCAAACCATCACGAACGTTAATTAGAGCACTTTAAAGAGAACCCAGAGATCATCTAGGACAGTGGTCCCAACCTTCACTCCCCAGATATTCTTGGACTACAACTCTCAGAAGCCTTCACCACTGCCTGTGCTGGCCAGGATTTCTCGGAGTTGTAGTCCAAGACTATCTGGGCACCTAAGGTTGGGAACCGTTGATGTAGAATTGGTGGATTATCTTCCAGGTAGCCAAATCTAACCAACAATGTGGTGGCTCCAATATTAATATCAATTAATGTTGTCACTGCTGCTGACTAGAGATGGGGATATTCGTATGTGAATATGAATACCCTTGCACATCTGGACGTAATGAGGGGCCGGCGGTGGCACCAGCTCCACTCTCCCTTCCAATCACTCCAGAACTCCCGGTCAGCTATCCACTTGTCAGTCTGGCAGGGAGACCCGTTTTCCCTCCTCCTGACAGGAGTGGATAGTTGATCAGGAGCTCTGGAGAGATAGGAAGGGAGCTCAGAGCCAGAAGCAGCAGTGGACATTTGAGTGGACAGTCTGGCCCCAGGGGGCTTCACCCTCGTTACATCCAGCTGTGCAGTGGTATTAGTATAGGAATACCCCCATCTCTACTGCTGACTATTTTCCTCCTCCTCCTCTTTAAAGCAGATGGTAAATCAGGCCAGATTTATGAAAGGCAGTGATACATTATATTATTGTTCACAGGAACCACTGGACCCTGAGTTTTTAGGGCCTCATGTTTAGGGTAGGTATAATCTTATCCCACACATGCTTTATCATTTTCTAATCAGCCAACTTCCCAATCTGTATAACTTTTATCTTCTTTGAATTAAGTTCTAGCTTGATTATTTTATTAAACATTGACTCCAGACACAGACTGAAGCTTTCAACCCTTCTCTAAGGATATTATGGATAGAGCAGTGAGGGGAGAGCATTTAAAAACTGTCTATGTGAGAAAATAAAATCACCTCGTTTTCTAATATCTGCCTTCCAGGAAGAACTGTAAAAAATTGCAGATAATGCTGCTTCAAAAATGTGTTTAGGGAATCTCTATGCAACAGTACCTGCAAGAACCAGTGCAGTAATTTATCTACATACATCATTTATTTTCACATCGAACTATTGTTACAAAGTAGACTAAGTATTGTGTACTACTGCTCAGATCTGTGTAAATAGCACTTTTAAAACACAATGGCCCAATGCTTACTTCATATGCTATTATCTTTTATCTGAACATCATGCCTTTGAGATGTTTTTGGTATCCTTACCGGCAGGGAAAGTGTGTTTGATGTTACATAATCACAGTTTCTGAAAGGGTATAAAGGTTAGAAAGTGTACTCTAAGAACTAAAGTACTATTTTTAGGCCTGCTGGTATGCAGAAACAAAATACTGTAGTGAGATTTCTTGGGAATGTGTTATGAGATTTTGATTTCCTGGCTAAATGGAACTTATGTGTAAGCCTTCTGGCTGAATTCATATGATTATTTCAGTTTTGTTGCTGAAGGCCATTGTTGCCTAGGCCGCTGGTGTTTTCAAAGGTCACTTTAATTGCCTGTATACTTCCAAAGAGGTCTCGCCTCATACTTAGAAACTTAGATGAGGGTGCTTTTTTAATTTATACTGCATTCAAAATAACCAAAGCCCAATGATGGATGTTTGGGCAAAACAAGAATAAGAATTTTAAAAATCTACTCATATTCACCCTAGGCATTGAAGATCTGAAAGGGTGGTGACTGACCAAGTAAAGAAATGTTAGGGTTTTGGTGGATAGCTTGATGAAACTGCTGGTGCAGTGGGTGGCTGCTATAAGAAAGATGCATCTCGTGTAGGCATAAATAGGGGGGAAAAATCAGAGGTAAAATACCGTAGTTAATCTCATAACTCCCAATGAATGCTGAACCTCTGACATTTCCTTTGAGGGAAATAGGGACAACCCGCTGATCTTCCCTTAACCTCTTTTCCGAGTGGGATGAGAATGATTTATGATAGCTGCCACCACTTCTTTCAAGCCCTTGTCTTAACAGGCAGAGAGGATGCCTGTCAGGTTTCTTACCCTTCTGCCCTCTCCTCTCTGAGAGACAAAATCTTCCTTCAGAGTTCTGGAGGTTTTCTTGTTTTGTTTGTTTGTTTTGTCTTTTTGTTTCCTTTTCCTCAGCTAGAAGGTTGCTGGCACATGACTTTTGGTTAGAGTACAAGATTGTGGTTTCTTTCCTTTTAAAGCAAATTGGAATACTCTGAAATCTTCAGTAAAGCCCCACATGGCACAGGAGCTCATTCTCCTGGTGTTTCACTTGGTTAGGGAAAGAAAGATTGTCAGCATCCTATCAGTTTCTGTCAGAATCAAAGAAAAGTAAATAAGCACTTCCATTGTAAAGACATTTCCTGAGGACTTAACTATGTTGATTTGAGGTCAGACCCACTCAGAACCTCCATCCGTCTGATTCAAAGATCTGTTCTCCTCTACTTTGGTTCCAGTCTGGGTCAGCCCACCCCATCCCACCCCACTCCAACCCCGATGCCTGCAGTTTCAGTGCACTGAAACAAAATCTGGCTGCAAAAATCTTGTACTGCATTCATAGAATTCACAGTGTGGTTTGCTTCATCTCACTGCAGCTGCATATGATGCAGACCACAAAATTTCACTTATTGATGATTGTGGATATCCTAGCATTTCAACAGGAGTGAACAATAGGAACCTACTGCATAATAAAATCATGTCAATTCTGACTAATGGCAACCCATCCCAGTACTCAACAGTAGTTTTCCACTCCATCCTCCTGATGGTGCCCTGGGACACAGGCTTGCTTTTCTTCAAGAATGCAGGGAGAGAAATTCAATCCCTAACCTTGGCTTCTGCTCCAACTCACTGAGCTATCCAGCCAGCTAATAAGACCATAGCCACCCAAATAAAAGGTAGAAGAGAGATGATTTGAAACAGCTTCCATAAGATGAAGAATGCAGCATGCAACAACAACAACAAAAGTTAACATTTGCTTTGAGAATTCTTGGTTTTACTGTATGGCGTGAAACTGCAGATTTTAACATAGACACAAAATTACAAGTATTTGAAATGTAGATTTATCACAGGATGTTAAGAATTTTCTGAATTGAGACGATAACCAGTGAAGAAGTACTACATCAAATTAATGAATTTTTTTAAAAAAAAATCTGAGAAAAAAATAAGAAAGCTGAACTACTTCATGTAACAAGAAAATAAGAGTACAGTACTGATTGTCATATCTAATTATTCAAGGCAGTATGAATAGGAAAATTAGAGTTGCCTCATCCAAAGCCAGGATAGT